ATCAGGTGGACCTCAGGTGGTCATCAGGTGGTCATCAGGTGGACCTCAGGTGGTCATCGGGTGGACCTCAGGTGGTCATCAGGTGGACCTCAGGTGGTCATCAGGTGGACCTCAGGTGGTCCACAGGTGGACCTCAGGTGGTCATCAGGTGGACCTCAGGTGGTCATCAGGTGGACCTCAGGTGGTCCACAGGTGGACCTCAGGTGGTCATCAGGTGGACCTCAGATGATCCTCAGGTGGTCATCAGGTGGTCCTCAGGTGGTCATCAGGTGGACCTCAGATGGTCCTCAGGTGGTCATCAGGTGGTCATCAGGTGGACCTCAGGTGGTCCTCAGGTGGACCTCAGGTGGTCATGAGGTGGACCTCAGGTGGTCATCAGGTGGTCATGAGGCGGACATCAGGTGGTCTTCAGGTGGACCTCAGGTGGACCTCAGGTGGACCTCAGGTGGACCTCAGGTGGTCATGAGGTGGACCTCAGGTGGTCATCAGGTGGACCTCAGGTGGTCATCAGTTGGACCTCAGGTGGTCTTCAGGTGGTCATCAGGTGGACTTCAGGTGGTCCTCAGGTGGTCATGAGGTGGACCTCAGTTGGTCATCAGGTGGTCATGAGGTGGACCTCAGGTGGTCTTCAGGTGGACCTCAGGTGGACCTCAGGTGGTCCTCAGGTGGTCATGAGGTGGACCTCAGGTGGTCATCAGGTGGACCTCAGGTGGTACTCAGGTGGTCATCAGGTGGACCTCAGGTGGTCATCAGGTGGCCCTCAGGTGGTCATCATGTGGACCTCAGGTGGTCCTCAGGTGGTCCTCAGGTGGTCATGAGGTGGACCTCAGGTGGTCATCAGGTGGTCCTCAGGTGGTCATCAGGTGGTCATCAGGTGGTCCTCAGGTGGTCCTCAGGTGGACCTCAGGTGGTCATGAGGTGGACCTCAGGTGGTCCTCAGGTGGTCATGAGGTGGACCTCAGGTGGTCATCAGGTGGCCCTCAGGTGGACCTCAGGTGGTCATCAGGTGGACCTCAGATGGTCCTCAGGTGGTCATCAGGTGGTCCTCAGGTGTCTCCCTCATTCAGAGGTCAAGATCAAGGACTGTCCACAGGTCAACAGGTAGCAGCTCTGATGGAGGACAGCTTGGCTTTGGGTCACTAAACAGCATTTTAACAGACCCACCTGTCAGGGAGTTAAACCTGTTTCTGCAGTAAAACAGTTTCCCTCAGATGGTTGGTCCATCATCAGGTGGACCTCAGGTGGCCATCAGATGGTTGGTCCATCATCAGGTGGACCTCAGGTGGTCATCAGGTGGAGCTCAGGCGGTCATCAGATGGTTGGTCCATCATCAGGTGGTCCTTAGGTGGTCATCAGATGGTTGGTCCATCATCAGGTTTTAGAGGGTCCAGCCTCCTCTGGACTCATCTTTCAGCTGTGTGAAGACACAAAGACAGCAGGGTCAGGGTCAGACCTGCTGATCCTTCTGCTCAGGACAGGAAATAAGATCAGTCAGTTCCAGTCACTCTGTGTGAAAATGATTGACAGTTCAGAAATCACAGAATACACAGTTGAAATAAAAACACCTGTAAAGTAAAGTCCTGTTAAACATTCAGTTCTTATAATGAACCTTAGAACAGGTGGTTGTGTCAGCATCACAACAAATACAGAGTTTTATTAWGACCCATGGGGACCACAAAGAGCTTCAWCCACACACTGATGGTGGTAAGCTACACTGTAGCCACAGCTGCCCAAGGACACAACTGAGACGGCTGGACCGGGGGATTGAACCGGCAACCCTCTGGTTACAGGACAACTCCTCTAACCAGTCTGCTACAGACCCCCATGACCTGTGGTGTGGGTCATGTTCATGCTGCGTGTCTACAGCTTCTTCAGAGACGAGAGGACGACTGTGTGGTTTCCTGTCAGTAGGTGGGAGGATGTAGAGACGGTTGCAGCAGCGTTGTCTCAGAGCTGCAGCTCTTCAGCAGCCGGCGCCGCTCTGAGGCGTCACACCTCCACCTCCTGATTGGTGGGAGGCGTCTGCGCCACGCTGCGCCCGCCCACTTTCCCACATTTCCACCAGCAGTTTGCAGACGAGCTGAGATCGACCCACACGCCTCGCCTCAGAGACACCTCCTGGTACCGACTGGTGAGTCAAAGGTCTGAGACCAGGAGTCCAGGAGGAGCAGACATGTCCCAGTAAGACTGAGACACACGCAGAGGAGATCGAGAAGGTTTGCTGGAACATGGCAGGAGTTTGGTTACAGTAGGTGTTCAGAGCAGCTGCAGGCCCTGAATCTTCATCATCTTCATCATCATCTTCATCATCATCTTCATCATCATCACCATYACCATCACCATCCAACAGAACCGAACCGACTCACAACTCGTCACAGACACAGGTGAGTCTGATCCAGGAGATCCAACAGGTTTTGGGCCGGTTCAGACAAACGTTGAAATGACTTCCTGGATGTTTTTAACTTCAAAATAAAATAAAAGTGGAGTTTAGAGAACGAACTGTTTAAACTTTGTGTTCTTCAAACTTTGGTAAATGTTCAGTTTTTACATCTGAACGTTTTAACCCAAAACAAGGAAGAATAAAACTACAATAAATGTTTTATCTTCTAACAACTGAGCTCCACAGGTCTAACAAACGTGTGGTTTCCTGCTCTGTTCTGAACATAAACACAACGTTTGGTCAGAACCCAGTGTCATTATGGAACAATCTGTCTGTTAGCAAAATATCTCCTCAGTCAAACTCACATGCAGTCAGCCTGATTCAAGATGGCCGCCACAGCTCATTGACCTTAAWCACCAAAATGTCTCCAACTCAGTGGGTTCTAAAGACTGAACTGAACTCAGGTGTGGTAGTAGCTGAGAGTCATCCTCAACACACTCATCAGTTCTATTGACTCTTAATTATTAATGATTTCAACTCAACTCTTCTAAATTCAGTTTATCTGTAAGTTTGAAAATTATAACGGTTTTAAACGAGGGAAATATGATAGATGTACAGATTCTCTGACTGTCAGTGAACGCATCATAAACACATCCTGACTTATTCTGAAGATTTTATTTAAAGTTAAACTTTAAATGTTTCAGAAAAACATCTCAGACAAGAAGAGTTTTACCAACTCATTAAACTTTACAGATGAAATTCTCCATCTATCAGTTTTTAAAGAATCCTGACCTCTCTGGCTTCTGTCAGTGTGTCTGAGTGGAAACAACCTAAAGTCCACTTTCAGAAGAACCAAAACATGATGTAAAAACTGGTGACGCTTCCAGAGGTTCTGTTCAATGAAAGCTTCAAACACTGAAGTACTGCAGGTTCTGTTCAAAATGTTCCCTGACTGGAAAACATGACTTCGTCTGAGGTAAACAGATTAAAAACAGTGATCATCTTTATTAACCAGTTAGTTACCAGTTAATTACCAGTGAGTTAACAGTTAATCAACAGTTACCAGTTAATTACCAGTTAATTACCAGTGAGTTAACAGTTAATCAACAGTTACCAGTTAATTACCAGTTAATTACCAGTGAGTTAACAGTTAATCAACAGTTACCAGTTAATTACCAGTTAATTACCAGTGAGTTAACAGTTAATCAACAGTTAACAGTTAATTACCAGTGAGTTAACAGTTAATCAACAGTTAACAGTGAGTTAACAGTAAGTTACTAGTTATTTACCAGTTAATAAGTTAGTTTAAAGTTAATTAAGAGGGAGAAATATAAGTTAACAGTTTCTAGTTATTTACCAATTAATTAACAGTATTTACCAGTTTAACAGTTATTTACTAGTTAATTAACAGTTAGTTACCAGTTAACAGTTAGTTACTAGTTAATTAACAGTTATTTAGTAGTTAATTAACATTTAGTTACCAGGTAATAAACATTTAGTTAACTTGAGGCTTAACTCTTTAAATTCTGTCCTGTTTAAATGTCATCTCTACGTAACTCATTGTGAAGTCTGGTGGTTCAGTCTGTCCTGACCAGTTGTTGGCTCAGTTTGTTGGACCTGTTCTTAGTTTAGGACCAATTCAGACCAGTTTGGACCTGCTTTGAGTTATTTCTGATCTCGGTTTTGAACCCGTTTGGATTCTACAGTATTAGAAAACTTCTGACTGGTTCTGGAATTAACATCAAATTAGTTTCTGGTTGTTTTGGAACCAGTTTGGGGGTTTTCTCATTGGGACCATTTAGTTTTTGTGTTCAGGCTGGTCTCTAACAGTTCTAGATGTTCTTTTGGAAACACTCTGGACTCATTATGTTTTCTTTGTTAAAAAAAATTTGACTTTGTTTAAAGTTTTGAACCTGAACAATGTTTTGGAAAAGTTCAGACCAGAACCCAACGTGGTTCAGGTTTTGAAGGACGTGGTTCAGGTTAAAGTAGAGCAGTAAGTCGTCAGCATATAAAGATATAAAAACAGGCTTCATCAGACTGAAGTCATTATCCAACAGTTCAGTTATGAGTTTTCTTTAAATTATAACATTCCAGAGGTGAAATGGATCTTTTGTAAGAAAGTCCTGTTGGGTTTTCATCAGATTTGGGTTCCCTCAGTACAAGTGTGAGAAACTTTCAGCTCAGCAGAGTCAAACTGTTGGATGAAATCGAAGAAATGTTATCAGTAATTTCCTGTCACGCTTCTTCTCCACGTCTCTGATCTTCTGAGTTGAGGTTCTGTTTGCTTCATTTAATGAACCAGTCAGGTGTTGGTGGACGGGTTGGATGGGTTCTTCGTTAGGTGGGCTTTAGTTCTGCAGGTGATGGGACTGGGGTGTGTTCTGGGTGGGGTTGGTTCTGTAAAGTTTCCAGTTCCTGGAACTTGTTGTTGATTACTTCATGGAGACTTCAGGTTTTCAGAGGAAAGAAAATGATTTCTACCCGACATCTGCACCACGTGCCTGATGGTTTCCTTCCTGTGTGATGAAGAACTAGATTAGCATCTTCCTCTCCTTCTGAYGCTTCAGGAAACTAAAACCCAGCAGTTCTTCAAACTGTTTAAAGATGGAACTGTTTCATAAACATCTTCAAACAGTTCATCAGTGTGGAAAAACATCTTATTGTTGCTTAAAATAGAAAAGTAAGATTATTTTTAACAAACACTGATTAACTGAGTTTTACTTTTGATTTTAGAGCAAAAGACAAGGAGAAACTTTAAAGTCTGTTCTGGTGGATTCTGGTTCCACCCAGGCTGAAGATCCAGAAATAAGTTCAGAAAAAGGTCAGATCTTCCTGGATCCTCTCTGATCTCATTCAACTGGATTCCACACAGATTTATCTTCCTTACATTCTTTATAAAAAAATATAACATTTTTAGTTAAATAGTGTCAACTTGAAGAAGCTGTAATCTGGATCAAATATGAATAAAATTCAGGAGAATAGTGTGACCTCTATTTGTTCTCCCAGCCGGTGAATAATAAACTACGGTAGTTGTAAACCTGTTTCTACACTGGGTTTTAGACTTGTTTAATACTAGCTTTAGACTGGTTTATAAACTGGGTTCTGACAGGTTGAAAAGTTGTTTTTACACTGTTTTTTAATTGTTTTTACAGATTTTAAACTTGTTTTTACACCAGTTTTACACGTCTTTTTACTCTGGTTTAGTCAATTTTATGTATAGACATGTTTTTACACTGGTTTCAAGCTGTTTTTTGAACTGGTTTTAAACTTGTTTTTACACTGGTTTCTGACAGGTTTTACACTTCTTTTTCCACTGGTTTAGTCAATTTTTTACACAGGTTAGGCATGTTTTTACACTGTTTTCAACACTGGTTTTAAATGTGTTTTACACTGATTTTTTTTTTTTTTTACTGTTTTTTAAACTGGTTTTAGGCAATTTTTACTWTGGTTTTAGACTGTTTTTCCTTTGGTTGTAAACTTGTTTTTACACAGRTTTCAGACTGTCTAACCAGAGTTGACAGTTTGATTCCCCACGAGCCAGTCATACGTCGAGGTGTCCTTGGGCAAGACACTGAACCCCCACTGCCTCTGATGTGTCCCATCAGTGTATGAATGTGAATTAAAGATGGATCTGTACATGGTAGCTCTGTAGAGACATAATAGTTGTGTGAATGATTGTAATGTGAAGCACTCTGAGTGTCCTGGTCAGGTGATACAGTCCAGTTACTATTTATTAGCTGATTTCAGACGAGTTATTTAACTGGTGCTGTGTTAGTTTTGGACTGGGTTCTTCAGTTCAGTAATACTTTATTAATCCTAAAGGGAAATTAAATGCTGTACCTTCTGTTCTTCTGGTTTGTATAAAGACTTGTTGTAGATGCTGATGGCTGCAGGCAGGAAGGATCTCCTGTAGAGTCTGTCTCACAGCACGTCTGAACACACTGCTGTAGTTTAACAGTGGGATGGAGAGGAAGCTCAGGTTGTCCACTGTATGCTCAGACAGCTGCTGGARTCAGGGATGTAATCCTGCAGCCACGTCTCAGCCAAACACACGACACCAGTTAATAATAATATTAACTGATAATAATTTCAGTTTTTACTGCAGAGGGATTAATCATAAAAAAATCTATTTTTATCCAGATAAAGAGGAATTAGACAAGTTTTAAAAGAATATCTCAGAATGAATGGAACAGAGCTGCTCCAACACCTTCAGGACTTCAGATCTTTGATCTGATCAGTTTTTTAAATGACCACAGACGAGTCTTTGAATCTCTCAGCTGTCCAAACTGTGCAGAAATGTGACTTTTTGTTTCTGACTACAAACGGTTCTGAGTTTGGCTTCTTGAACACTTTTTGTTTGGTGCTGATTGAAGCTGCAGCTGTGGTGGAAAGTTCCAGTAGTTGTGCAGCAGAACACAATAAATGTGTTGTTTTCAGAGCGGGGGTGGGGGTACCTGAGGTTCTCTACTTCCTGTAGAGCTGCTTTATGGTTTTAGGACACCATCTTTATTTCAGCAGAGGAACGGTGTTAATGGAACACTTCCTGTTTCATTTTCAGTCTGAAGTCAGGACAAACCTGCAGATGTCAACATCTGTCTTTAATTTATGTTTGTTACTGAAATAAATCAGGTATTTTTTATTTATAGCTGTTGAAGTAGCTTATAATTTATAACTTGTAAAAATATTCTCTTTTAACTAGAGTCACAGAAGTTTATCATCTAAATGTTTACAAAATGAAACCAAATTAAAACTTATAATGTAAAATAATAAAAAGATAATTTGTTGTTAATTGTTGAACAAAAAGACCCAGATTATTTCTTTAAACTGATTACAGAAGAAAATCCTGATAATTAAAATATTTTATTTACTTTAAACTTTATCTGAGGATAAACTGGTTTATTTCTGGTTCTAGTAGTCCAGACGGAGAGCTTGGACCTAGTCTAGGACCTGGTCTAGGACCTAGTCTAGGACCTGGTCTAGGACCTAGTCTAGGACCTGATCTAGGACCTGATCTAGGACCTGTTCTAGGACCTGGTCTAGGACCTGGTCTAGGACCTGGTCTAGGACCTGGTCTAGGACCTGGTCTAGGACCAGTCAGAACTCGGTTCAGGTTTTGTTTTAGACAGATTTAGGAGTAGAGCTGAGTTGGTTGTTTTACACAAACGTTAAATTGGTTTTAGAGAAATATTCTCCCACAGCACCATGAAAGTAAACACGTAACTCACTGTGGTTGTTGGTCTGTTAGTAAAATATCTGATGAACCTCTGGACAGACTTCAGTAGTTCTTCATGTACAACATGATTCAAGATGGCCGCCACAGGTGATCGAGCTCAGAACACAACAGTTTAAACTACAGAGTGACTCTGGGTGGTAGTAGCTGAGAGTGGTCCCTAACAGAACTCTGAYTGGAGGGGCGGCACCGGCGTGGGTTTTACTGGACTGGTCCAGGACCAGTTTGGATCTGAAGCTTGGTCTCAGACAAACCTTTGGACTTGTGTTGAGACATGGTTTTAGTTTGAACAATCAGAACTGTCAGAATAAAAGCTCAGGATTTCCTGTTCAATCAGAACTGTCAGAATAAAAGCTCAGGACTTCCTGTTCAATCAGAACTGTCAGAATAAAAGCTCAGGACTTCCTGTCCCCCTCAGATGAACCATGGATGTGTCCTGGCTCACAGTGGTCCTGTCCACAGTGGTCTTCATCTCCACTGTCCTCCTGACTGTCGTCTGTCTGGACTGCAGGAACAAAAGTCCTCTGGGTGAGTTGGACTTCCTCTCTCAGCCTGAGGAGCACACAGAGCAGGGCTCAGATTTATTTCTGTTTGTCACTTTTCACACAAAGGTTCTGATTTATAAAATACAAACTTGAAGTGAAAATGTGTGGTCCCTCACATCTCTGACCCACAGACCCCTCCCTGACCCACAGACCCCTCCTCCCTGACCCACAGACTCCTCCTCCCTGACCCACAGACTCCTCCTCCCT